TCCTACTTCAACTGACAGTGAAACTGTGAAACTCGAACAAAAGTTAATTTTAATTAGTGGCAGCTCCTTTTGTGGGACACCCAGGAGCTGAAACCCCTGATTCTCTCAGTCCCGAGACATGAAAATGTGGTCCTGAAATGCAAATCACAGTGCCCATTAATCCCATAGACAGCCTAAATCCTAAGTCACTCTTGCCTCAAGGTCTCATAGGCCCAAGCAAGAAATAAACAATGTCTAATGGGAAATGGGAGATTAAAATAGAACACCTGGAACACAAGTTTAATCCTTGAGCTGCATGAGCAATACAAGTTACCAGGTGGATTGCTTCTTCAGTTGGCTTTAGTAGACATTCTTTTTAATGCCAGCAGTAAACTACCTGTCATTGTACACGATGTTAGTGAACATGCTGTTACTTTGCAGTCAGATAGCATTGTTGCTCAAGCTTGTGTGGCCCAACATGTTTCCTCACTAGCATCGAGTCAAACTCTGAATCTTACAAGTCGAAATGAACCAAACAATGACAGCCTCACATTCAGTCTGGATGATTCTCCCATCCCAGAGCAATGGAAAGAGTGTATTCTGAAAAAGCTGAGATCGATCCCTGAAGTTTTCTCTCTCTATGAGATGTCACATGGCCACACCACAGTGTCACGTTTTAGTTAACGGACTCAGGCGCAGACCGGGAATCTTTACAGAGTTAACAATCAGTTTATTGACACAACGACACCAGGTGATGCTATTTACAACGTGCTGGAGGGAGGGGAGGGGGGTCCAGGGTTCCGGGGTGTGTGAGGGGAAAGACGGGAATCAGACGCCCTCCAAAGGCTCTCTCTCTTCACTCCCCACACTGGAGAAACACAAATCCACTCACTCGTCCACGGGATGACAGGCAGGCAAGGAAAGGTCCGGGAAAGATCTGTACACAGAAACTTTAGTTAGAGGCGAACAGATGGAAAGAACTCACAGATTCTGATTCTCAAACTACTGAGCGACTGACGCTGATAGCTCAACGATCCAGCGACGAGTGACACAGTGCTGCTGTCTTAAATTGGCCTTGTGATCATCCCGATAGGCAGCAGGTGCGTGGGCCAGGGGCGGGAGCCCATAATAGCAGAGGCAAGACGCTGCAGCAGAGGAGGACAGAGCCACAGTGTTCCTACCATAGTATGTTTGTTGTTGACGATAAGTTACACCCGATTACTCCTGTAAGAAGATTTGCAAGCTGTGGAACACATTTTTGTTTGTTTGTATCTCTTCACATTGGAGTCCTGTGGAAGTTTTTCTTTTTCCTCTTTGAATGAACGTACATGAGTGAAGTACGGGAAAACTGGTCTCACGTCTATACATCAGGAATGTCCAAGCCGTTCTAAAGACAGCTAAAAGCTAGTGTTTATAACTAAGACTCACCTGTGCAAAAGATACTGAAATAATCAAATTCATTTTAAGGTCAAAACTTGAAAAGTCAATCAGTCTCTTTAACACCACCGTTTTAAGATTAAGACACCAAGTATTGTTTTACCTTTACCAAAACCTCACTGAAAAATGCAAAATGTAGGCCTAATGTAGAGTAAAAACTGCTCAGACGCAATACTGAAATGTGAACGATTGAATTGAAACTACAAAATTGCTTGAAATAGAGAAACGCAAAAATTATTCACAAAACTAAATGCATCAGAAAACAAAGAAAAATATACAGTCTGAGAACATAGCACCAACTACTGTATAGTCCAAAAATGTCACTATACATACATTTAGCAGCCACTTTATCAGGTGCACCTGTTCCACTGCTTGTTCAGCCACATCTGCAACTCAAAGCATTTAGCCCTGTAGATACTGTCAAAAAGCCTAATGAAGTTCAAACAGCATCATAGTCTGGAAGAAAGATGGTTGAATAGTTGTTGATACAGCATCTACTGAGGGTGTTGATGATCGTTGAGGTTGGTCTGTGTTTTTGATAAACTATTGATCTACTGGGATTTTACCACACAAGCACCTCATCATCACAGGGTTTACAGAGAATGGTTCAAAACAGAGAAAATAACCAGTGAGTGTCAGTTCTCTACTTGTGCACCTTGAAGCAGATGGCTTACAGCACCAGATGACTACACTGCTGTGCATGAATTTGGCATTCAGTGAACCAAAAAAAGACTCATATCTCAGATTCTTTAATTCTAAACACAGAACAAAAGTAAATAAAATATGAATGTATACCATGTATCAACCCAAACCATTAAAGCTGAGAGAAAAAGGAGAGTGGTGTCAGACTGTCATGGTTAATGGCACCTAACAAATACTACAAAGCAATGTAAGAAATTTTCAGAGAAAAATATTATGTCCATTTTATTTTTTCTATGACATAAATTATTTACTTAATTTCTGTTGTGTTGTATCTTTTGTACATGTTTTGATTATAGGTTGTGTCATAGCTCTAATAAAACATGTTTACTTTGGTAGCAAAGCAGAAACGGTTTTCTCAGACGTTCAGTGTTGCTGATTCCTCATGAAGTGAAGTTTTTCCACCTTCTTTAAATCATCTCTCTTCTGTTTGGACAAAAAAAAATAATCTGGATTTATTTATTTATTAAGAGTGTTTGGAAAATTCAAAATCCATCAATAAATCTAACAAGAAAAATTAAGGCTTATTTTTAAGGCAACAAAACACAAATATGACTGTATGCGGTACATGTGAGGTGTACAGATACATCAGTTACCTTTGTTGCAGATTTTGCTGTCTTTGGCAGCATTAGTCTAAAAAAATGAAGAAACAACATTTAAGTGAAGTACTAAAAAACAAACCTGGACATTATAAATTACATGAGAGCTGTTACACAAACAGAAGGACAGCAGTGTTCATAACCATTAGGCGACAACTGTCTCCACACAATATTATAGTCTGTAATGTGGCTGGTTATTTAATTTACCAGTTACAGTTATTATTCTCCAGTAAGTGCCAGTTAGAAAGATGGTATCATCATTAATCACATACATGTTTTTGGTGATTTTGATTACATGCTGTGTGTCACTTTTTCTTACCAAGACAAGAAACAGCAGTTGCAGAGGGTTGTCTGTCAAAAATGGCTCAGCAGACCTGTCGTACTGCACCTAAATCTTCATCAGACACTTCACTCTCTGTGTCCCAGTATTCTGTTTCATTGTCTGTGACTCTTCTGCTCTCCTGGTGTTGCTCTCATAGTAAATCATCTGAAGTCTATCAACCAAACCGACAGCCACAAACTCTGGGAAGTTTGTCCCAAAAAGTTGATTGTGTTCATCTGGACGTAGAGTTTTCAGTGGGAGAAACGTTTCGTCACTCATCCAAGTGACTTCTTCAGTCTCAGCTGACTGCAGGTTTCCCCGATCTTATAAAGAGTACATTTGCATAATGATTGAAACAAGCACCACTGAATGACCAATGGGCTGATCATTGATCAACAACCACCAATCAAAGCCTACTGATCAATGGCCATGAGTACCATTCATAGAGAGTTGGAGAATGGCTGCAATCACAGCATTGTAAGATGGTGAAAGATGTACCCTTAGGCCCCCTACATCTTCAGTTTAACATTTTCATTGTTATTCAGTGGATGAGTCTGATGTAGTAAGGAGAGAGTTTATTATCTGTGGTTTATCTCAGAGAAAAGAGGAGGATCTCTTCAAAGAGCCGTTAGTAGGTCGATAAATCCCTCTTTGTTACTCTTGTATATGAAATAGGATGAATTTAAAATACTGACGTGTTTGCGTGGGTTCTCTCCGGGTACTCCGGCTTCCTCCCACCGTCCAAAGACATGCAGCTTGTGGGGATAGGTTAATTGGATAACCCAAATTGTCACTAGGTGTGAATGTGCGAGTGAATGAGAGTGCGAATGTTGTCTGTCCCTGTGTGTTAGCCTTGCGACAGACTGGCGACCTGTCCAGGGTGTACCCCGCCTCTCGCCCTATGACAGCTGGGATAGGCTCCAGCGCCCCCCGCGACCCTGAAAAGGATAAGCGGAAGTGAATGGATGGATGGATGGGATGGATTCTGACTTAATTGAACCAGGACAGTGGGGATGTTATCAGTGAAATGATGAAGACTGTAACCAGTAAACCTTATCTACACAAAAGAACTCAAATGTTTTTTTCAAAAAAATATTCCCGGAAATACATTTGAAATGACTGAAAATAAAAGTTTTAAAAAGTCTAGAGTTTTTGAGGATTGGCTCATGGTGTCATTATGTGGGAGGGAAACATAATTCCTGTCTCATGTGTCCACTCATCAACAGAAACCTTGTTCCCTTTCGGATCTGTTTCTCCTCTAATTTCATTTCTGACAGAAAATCATGAAGGCAAACCAGGTCAGGTTATTATGTAAAAAAAAAATGAAACTATGACTTAATAATCCTTTAAAAAAAGCATTTTATTTATGAAACTTTAAGATAAACAGATGAAAACCATAAAACATTTATATTAAAAGTCCACAGCTGGACAGCTTTTGAATATTTACACATTATTATGAGAATATTTACACTCAATCATGGAGGTCTGAACTTCTCCACAATGACATGTCAGGGGGCCGTTACACTAGTGATGTGTCGGTCGCGAACGAAATGGCTCTTAGAGCCGACTCTTTGAAGTGAATGATGTGAGGTTGTTTCCCCCCCTCCCCCCCTTTCTCTCACCCTCTCTCTCTCTCTCGCACTTTTTTTCCCGCGTCACTCTGCACGCGAGCCTTGTGCTTTGTGCTGGGAAGAGGGGGGAGGGGCAGCAGTTACACTCGCAGTAGCACAGGAACAGAGCGGGAGGGAGCGAGAGAAAAAGAGAGCCAGGGACAACAACGTTACATTAGAAAGGTATAGTAATCATCCACAACTATTTTCAGTTGCAGATGATAAAGGATTCAGAAAGTTTACTCACGCAGGCCCATATGACAGAGAATATGCATCTTCTTTTTGTTTTCATATTTTAATTTATATTTAATTGTGTTGTGGTTTGCAGTGTTTTGTGTTGTTTCACTTTAAATTTGTTTAAAAGGAAAAAGCTGAAAATTGAAATAGTGAAAAATTGAAATGTAATGTTCTTTCAGAGTCTTTGTCTGAGAGCTACTACAGTAAAACTAAAGGTTCACAGTGCAAACACTTTATGTAAACTGAATTTGACTTTCAAATTAAAGCCAAATAACTTTTTGTATTATTTGCAGTTTCTCCATCTTGTTGCAGCAGAAAGGTAGAGGAAGAACATTATATATAATATATACATTAGGTGAATGTGCAGTAGTAGCATGTATGCAGAAAGCAGGTGAATTCTGGGAGAGGCTGTCTTCATGCAAAGCTGAGATGAGCAATTCTTTCTAAAGCTGCACTGAATCACACACAGAGAAATCTTTTAAACATCTTAAGTCTCAAACAATTCAAATAAGCATTTAAATTTGAGAATTGTTTTTTTAAATCCAGTTTGAACTTGTAAAATACTTACTGTCAGTACAGCTCTGTAAAAACAGAGATAGTAATACAGTTATTTATTCAGAAAATATGAAGCACTTGAGAAAAAACTAGCCATTTGCACCACTTGCATGAAACATTTCAGCTCATTAAATATCAAATATTTACACATTATGAACTTTATCACATGAGAAGTAACAGGCATGAAACACATCAAATTATAAGAGCATAAACATCAAAATGTTGGAAACATGTTGGAGGTAAATGTGTTTCATATTTCTCACCTTTATATTTTCTCCTCCAGATAAAGACTGCAGAGAAGCAGACAGTCAGGAGGAGCAGGATGCCCATAAACCGGACAACAACACCAGCAGGGAAGACTGAAGAACCTGAAACCAACACATTTACATTCTGTAGTTCATCTCACTGTTGGACCAACGTTCATTAAGACCACACCAGACCTTCATCTATAAAACACCACAGGAACTAAACTACACAAGGTTTTAATGTAGATTAGTGAATAATCAAACTGTATTACAGTTTGATGTTTAGCAGTTATACTGAGCCAGTCATCAACAACAGGTGAATGAACACAGTATCACAGCAGGTTTGATTCTTCCATGTTATAAACAGATCACATAAAACCAGAAAAAAAAACCAGGGTCACAAAAACCACATTAAAATTAAAGTTTCTAGTTTTTACCTCCCAGTGATGATGATGAAAGATGAAGATCAGTGTAATCTGAGCTGTGTGTGATCCTCAGGCCTGCTGCTGTGTTTATTCTTTCTTTATTTGCTCTTGTGTGATTGCTGAGGGCTCCCTTTGCTCTGTTTATTGTCTGATCTTTATTTTCAGCTGTGCTGTGTTAGTGGATTCCTCAGATCTGTTTGTGTTTTAGTTCTTGTTAGTGTTGTAGTCACAGAGTGTTATTGGTCCTTGAAGGGTCTCTGTTTCTGTCCCTGCGTTAAGTTCACTCAGTGTTTCATCCATTTAGTTTTACGTCAGCTGTGTCTCGTCACCCTCCTGTTTCCCACTCTCTGATTACCTCATGTGTTTATAAACACTCTTCCCTCCCTTCAGTCTTTGTTTCAGTGTCTGTTTGTTTTCCCTTGTGTGATTTCTCTGAGTGTATTTTAGATTTACCAGTTTGTTGCCTGTTTTAGATTTTTGTTGAAAGTTTTGAATCAGCAGTTTAACTTTGTACTAAAGCCCAAAAATGAAAGTTTTTTGGTTGGTTTTTTTTCACTCCTACATCGTCCATTATTAAGATCAAGTACTGAGTGATTAGTCCTGTTGCTTCCTAATCTCTATCAAACACCTGGTTTGTTTTAAGCATGTGTGAAAAGGGCTTCTTCCAGTTTCCTCCTTTCACATGGAGCCAAATGGAAAATCCAAATAAGATCAAATAAAGGTGTATTTATAAAAGTTTTACTGTCTTCTTTTTTCCAATCTTACCCTCATTGGTCCTGATCGCTGCTTTGTCCAGTTTGGTGACGATGTCCTCGTTCACACCAGAGAGCTGAAACATACATCTGTAGCTGTGCCAGTCTTCAGGTGTGACTGATGAAAGATCCAGATCAACACTCATCTGG